GATGATGCGCGCTTCAAACTTTGAGTTCGGTATATCGTTAGTTTAAAGGGTTACTACGAACTCCTGCGAGATTTTATGGGATGACACATGCCGCGGTTGCTATACTCTCCCCGTATGCTAACGAGACTTCAAAGAGAGATAAGCACTGCGGCTTTACCGTATACAATCCGACAGCGACACTCGCGCTGCTCGCCTTCTTTTGCACCGACGTATGCTCGAGAAAAAACAATCGCGATAGTAAGTTCGGAGAATCACAGATTGCACGCCACTGTGCGGTGCAAAACGAGCGACCCAGCTCATCGAGTTTCCTGCAAGCGCCGTCTTCTAAGTCACATCTCTCCTTGCTTGCTTTTCGTTGATCGCCGGTGTTCGTTTTCGGTTGCGCCGTCGAATCCGAGGCAGCGACTATATCTGTTGCGGCAGGTGACGTGCGAAACGCGCAGCGTCAACGCCAGCGAGCTCGCTGACACCGGGAAACAAGTAAACAAGCGGTAAACTGGATAAAAACAAAGCAAACACAAAAAACTGTCACGTTTTAGCTTTCGAAGGTCGAACACTCTCGGCGAGACGTGGTCGCCCGAGTCTCTGCAGCGCCACGTTTTTGTTTTACCGCTGTCTGGTTTTACCGCTGCCTGGAGCTACAGTTACTAAAAAGGATAGTGGTACGGTGCAAGAAAAGTACTTTTTTTTAACTGCGGCGTTGTGCATTCTTTGAGCCTTTCTTGTCCGCGATCCGTGCTAACGAAAATGGGCATCGTAAATGGGTAGGCGCTGCGGAAATTCGAAAAATCCTACTGATCGCCACTGTTGCGCCAAACATGACTGCAGCGGTCAGGCCGAGAAACCGTTGTGTGCCACAGAAATCTGTGTGACGCGATCAGAAAACGATCAGCATCGTGAACGCATATGCGCCACGGAAATTCGTCAAGTCCTACTGCACACAACTTCCACTGAAAAGGAAGAAGGCGGCAATTAGACCAATAAATGGTATGCGCGTTGCCATATAGTCGCACCCCTGTCGCGTAATACCTTGTGTGGTGGCCATACCTTAAACATGGTAAGGTCACCTCCATAAAGATCGCTGGCTTTAAGGTGGTGGCTATACCTTGAAGTTCCACAAAGCGTGTTTAATAATGGGCATTTATATAGGAAATGTGAAAGACTTGCAAAGCATCAGAGAGTGTTTAATAAAAAGCATTTACGTAGCATATACGAAAGACTTCCCAAAACACACAAATTCAATAGCTTGATGAAGGGAAACGCATCAGTTTTACCAGTTCATCGATCATTATCGTCCGCAAAAGTGATGCTAGTTGAATCTTTTTTCTAACACCGTGAGTAGCGGTATCGAATCCAGACCTCGGCGGCCCAATTTAGATGGGGCAGAGATGCAAATATGTGCGTGTAATAGTAATTACATCAATGGTTTCGGTGCATAATGCCCTAGAGTCTAACTTTTCGTCAAACTTTTTATGCCTCGCTAACCAAAGTTTCATATATGGATCTCTAGATTTCGTGAGCTCGGAAAAAGCAGTGTTGATATGTGACTCTACGCCTCAGTCTACGTCATTTCGAACGAACAATGGCAATTTGTGCGTGTAATAAATTCTGGCCGAACGCTTCGTCACGGAAGCCATTACACCCAGACGTGTGTAGTAATTAAATCACGGTTTTGGTGCATGATGCCCCAGCGTTTAATTTTCGTCATACTTTTATGCCTCGATTGCCAAATTTTCATATATAGATCTCTATAGACTTCGTAAGCTGAGAAAAACAGTGTTGATATGTGACTCTACGCCTCAATCTACGTCATTTCGAACGAACAATGGAATTAAGGGAATTTCGAAAAAACTTTCTCGTTCATGTACGTGCTACGTACAAAAATAGGGCACGGAAATGAAAAAAGAAAGAGGGAAAATCCCCCTTTCCAGCTGATACTTTGTCGCGTTACATAAATTTGCACAGTCAATCGTTGAACTGCCCAGTCGGTAAGTGGAGAAAGCTATGTTGAAAGAGGGGGGGGGGGGGCTTCTGTAACAATGCATCTAGAAGGTCAAACGACAAGCCGAAATTCGATGGGAGGTTGTAGACGTATTTGCTAGATTAATGACTTGGACGGGATCGATTTCACTCGATCCAGCGCGATAGTTTAGCGGGTAAGTGTCATACTGTTAAGATCGAGGACGCAAGATCGATTTCAGCCCGAGGTTTCGCATTTGGTCGGAGCCGGAATGTAAGAACACCCCTCTTCCCAAATTTTAGAGCCGGTTCATAAAATTCGTGTGGTGGAAGCTAATCTGGCGTCCTTAACTACGGCATTCCTTATGATGTAAATTCGGGCCGAAATTATGTAGCAATTATTCCTATTTGGAACATTACCTGCAGTGCCTTTTTGAGATTTCGGAGGTTGGGGGGAGGGAATAAATTTATACAGGATGATCTTAATTTGATGATATTTAAAATTTCATTTGAAATTTATTTGACGAAACTTGACGAGATCACAAGGTGGACAAGAAGTGCAACTTCAGAGGTCGCGGAGTGAAAACTGTCGGGGGGACCTCCTAACAAAACATAAATGAGCACGCAGTCTTGTGACGAAACAAATATGGTGGTGACTTGAGCAGCAGGAATGTTTGAAAAGATCAGTCATAGAGGTGTTTGGTCGAAATTTTGAATTTGCGATGCAAACGGCACGACTGCTGATGTGGTGTTTGCACCCAATCTTAAACATTAATTTCCCCTTTGCTTGTTACAGATTCGATACAGTAGCTTCACTCTACGACTGTGTTTCCAGTTTTTCAGAGATTGCCACTTGAGGTCTTGTGTGGAGAGCTCAATCACTTGGTTGCAGCTGAGTCGCACACGGCGTGCCAACAAACAACTCTCGTCGGAACACGCCAAGCTTTCGTCACCAAATTTTACCCCTTGCTCTTAGTTTCGCTGACGTCGTCTCCGGCAGATTCCTCTCTAATGAGTCACTGATTAACTCATCGCGGGCTCCCGGCTATAGTTCGGGAGGCGTCTAACTCGTGTCCAGTGACGCAAAACGTGCCGCGGACCACATGCGCGCCGTCCACGCTGTCACCGAATGCCCCCTCGTGGCAGCAGGCCCGTCAATACATCTCATTTCTTACTTTTTTGCGCCTCTCTTTGTTTGTTTGTTTGTCTGAACATTCAGACCATATTGGTATCACACACTCTGCGGTATTGGCCAAGAATTCGTAGGTAGATAATTTGAACAATGTTGTAGTAGGTATTTGAACAACGGTAAATTATACCAAGCAAAATGATAAAAAATAGAGAACACTGGATAATATATCCAATAAATGCTTTTTCACTGTGCCATTACCAGGCTGCCGAATGAATCTAATCTTAACAAGCTCAAATATATTTGTTGGATTCTAATGTTTTTTATTAGCCTGTTGTATATTTGCTGTAGTCAAGATTAGAATGGCTCCTGTGTTCTTGTTCTTATTCTTGTTCACCTCGTATACTCTGGCTTACACCCACGGTGGGAGATTGGCCAGGAATCGAGTGGTCCTATTATTCGTTTGTTTCTTTGAACCTTAAAACAATATGGCACGTGCCAACTCTGGGAGATTGGCCAATAATTCGTAGTTGAAAATTTAGTTTTTCATTCGAGAAGGTTTTTATTTCGGAGCATAATGTTTTGATGATATTTAGTTATTTTTTAAAACAGTGATAGCCTTTTTGTTTTTGTTTCTTTTTTAGGTGAGATAAAATGTACCATGTGATAATTTTTGTGAGCACTTTACGTGTCGTTTAATCAGTAAATTTCCAGTTTCGAGTGTGAGCCTATGTTGTCGTTATTTTGAGTCCCTGTTCCATCCTGCGGCCCACTTTTTGCATTCACAAACCAAGTGGCCGTTTTTTTTAATGACTTCGCCTACCCTACCAAAAAATAAATCCAACATACGTTTAGGTCAAAAACCACAGAGAACGTAAGTTGTTATATTTAACTTCAGTGTAATAATTATGAAGTAAACGTAAATGAATTAACGTCGATGAAAAGGTAACCCTTTCTGACGGGGGGATCCGAATAAACGTCATCTATAGACCTTCTAATTTCTAGCACTTGAAGGTAGTGGGTTTGGATCCCACCGTAGAGAAAGATGAGTTTCCATGCTCTTTAAGTCATTTCAATTTAAGTCATAACTTTTACAGTACAGTTATATATGACAATTAACGTCCCCTGTGATTTCCTCAGCCCAACTGTACGTTGAAATCATTTGGTTGCTTCTAACTTTAAAATCAGTTTCGCCAAAATTGTTTTGCGTCTCTCTTACCCTAGTAATCTTCTCACTTAGGGGAATATTCATTCAATTTTTTTTTTTAATTTCTTGTCCAGTATCCACCTACTTTTCTTGAAAAGGAATGTAATTTTTTTATATAAGAAAGCCTGCTACGTCGTTTTTGATCCAACTAATATTTTTTGTCCGACGTCCACTTTCGGAACACATCGAGACAGATTAGGCGTATAGGAGGAGAAGGATTTTATGAGAATATAATTCTGCACATCCTACTCCTGTCCTAAACTATTTAAATGTGTTCCCAAAGTGGACGACAAATAAAAATATTAGCTGATCAATGGCGATGTAGTGAACATTCTATTGAATTCATTGTTAAAGTTTCAGATTGCAGTTTGATCTTGCAGTGAGAAAAGTTTCTGTTTTCATTAATATGCAAGACGATCATTTAATTTATTTCCGACAACGACTTCTGCATTCCTTGACTTTGATCTCGTACTATAATTAATTGGTGGCAACGTACTGACGTGTAACAATAAAATATCATAACACGTTCCAATGTGGGCCTTAGCGAATCTACCATGCACATGAAATCAGGAAAGAAAAAGTCTTTGCTTATCTTTTCGCTGGTCTCTGACCAAAACGGACACCTTTCACAGTTACTATGCTTGCAGCACTAGCAGCACTATGTCGAGTGCGTAGCTAACGAATGCTAATACAGGCCTCGCTCACCGTTTTGCGGAAAGATGACAGCCGTCTGCATGGTACCGTAGAAGTCCTCCCGGGTTCGAGAGTTCCTTTCGTCGTCTGCTGCCGGCGTCGCCGGTGCCGGCAGGAGATCTTTGTCAGCGAGCACGGAAGGCAGCACGGACCGCGGTATCCTCACGTTGGGAGGTTCTTTGAGGCGGAGTTTCTTCAGTATCTGCTGCTTGATGAGCTCGATGCGGGCGTACCGGTACTCGGCGCTGTTCGCCTGCTCGGCGAGTTTGCGAGCCGCGCAGTCGTCGCACGCCGAGGACGTGTAGACGGACGCCGGGTGGTGGCGGGCGCCGACCGCGTTGTACGTCGGGGACGAGTCCATCACCACGGCCGACGAGAAGGCCGTCAGGAAGACGCAGCAGAAGACGCACTCGGAGATGGTCCCATGGCAGTTGGGGATGGCGTTGTCGTGCCGGTGCTTGTGCATCGTATTCTGACTTGGCCTCACACGTTCGGGGTAACACCGGGAGGAGATGACGCAGGCGCAGGTTTCGAGGTGGATTTGAGGTGCTGGTTTCGCAACCGCACTGGACCACTTAGTGAGTCCGGCCGCTACCGATCGCACAACGCGACAACATCCAGACGGTGCACAGTCCGACACAACATCTACGGAGGCCGGATATACCCGGTAGTTCGGAGCGGTCAACACCGGGTTCTTGTCGTTGGGCGCAGATGGAGCAGAAGCAGCTCGGTGACCGGGATAGCAGACGACACCCGGGAGCCGAAGAAACAGAAGATGAAAAAAGGCACGACGCGACACTGGTGACACGACACTCTGGGACCCAGGCGACTGTTCTCTACACGACGGTACAGCTTAGCTCGAGTCGTTTCTTTGACGCGATCGAGTAAATAAAAGCAAGAAAAAATACAGAGAGGGCCGGACGAACGACCGGCAGAACACGGCGTGTCGTAAGATAAAGATGCCGGGCTTTCCTGAAGCGGGAAGCGAATCGCGGAAATACTAATCTCTCCAAGAGAAAAGAACTGAGATGATGGGGGGGCTGGGTGAGGAAGAGTGGGTAAGGGAACGTGGGAGGGGGTGCTGCTAGCAAGGATAACAAACGTCGGGACAAAACGAAAAAGAGAAATAATTAAGCGGCGGTGGCGACGTGCGACGGAAGGCGGGCAAGACAAAACTGAGGCAGGGAGCAACAAGTTTGCCGGTGGCGGGAGTCTCGTTTGCCGAATGCGGCGATAGCACCTGATGCGACGCGCTTTTATAAAGGGCCACGACGACTGCACTTCTGGATGATGGCGTTTCGTGCGAGGGAGGAAGCGAGCAAAAGCAACAGCGAGTGAAATTGAAGGAGGAGGGCCGCAATTGGAGCGGCCGTGCGTTTTCCCGTGGCTTGCCCTCTCGCCGCGCGCTCCGCGGGGGTTACCCAGGCCGGTTGCAAGTGAAGCGAATTACCAGTGTCAATAGGAGCGTGCGGAGTGGCAGTAGCTCGATCTCTGTGCCGCCGACGGCCAACGTAGACCGATCTTCTTACCTTCAATTGTCATGGCTTTGTAGTCTCTGTTGTTCTTATGTTGGCGGTGTGTATACATGCGGCGAAGTTTCACACCACAATCCGAGTAGACACCATCGAAGCCTTCGGCCTCTTCATCGATTGCTTCCTCATACTCATGGTCACATTACCCGAGATATTTATTGATTGCACGCTCTTCGTCACGATTACGACACCTCTGTCAATACAGGTCCACGTTCAATTCGAACTTCAAACTACTGGCAACAGCCTTACGCAATCGTTCTGAAAGTTTCACTATCCAGTCGGCCAGCTAATGATTGATTGATATGTGGGGTTTAACGTCCCAAAACCACCATATGATTATGAGAGACGCCGTAGTGGAGGGCTCCGGAAATTTCGACCATCCGGGGTTCTTTAACGTGCACCCAAATCTGAGCACACGGGCCTACAACAATTCCGCCTCCATCGGAAATGCAGCCGCCGCAGCCGGGATTCGAACCCGCGACCTGCGGGTCAGCAGCCGAGTACCTTAGCCACTAGACCACCGCGGCGGGGCAGTCGGCCAGCTAATGTGAAAGAAAGCTAGAATACGTGACATTTTTTTTTTGTTTTTCACTCCAAGAGCTTTTGATGATGTTTGATGTTTTATGGCGCAAGGGCCGATTCACGGCCAAAGAGCGCCAGTTCATCTTACTAAAAAATATGGACAATGATTGTGATAAGCGGCTGTATAAGGGCCATAAAATTCCTCGCAGTAAGGCGGGTAAAAACATACAGGTAATAAAATCATGACCATGCCGTGAAAGGTGTGTGTGATGTGAACAGATGACAAAAGTTGGTGATAATAAAAGACGATGGTGGATATGTATGGCAATAGCACAAGTGCCTCACTCGTTCAAACCCTTGCGTCCAAGGGCCGTGAGGCATGTGCTTTTTTGTGTAGCCACCGCAGCAAAAACCTCTCTGGAGAGGTCCTGCTACGGTATGCCCGGGTATATGACATGAAAGCTGTGAATTTCTTTTAAAAACGCTAACAATGAATTATGACTAAAAAGTGGTTCCCTACCGACAAACATTGCAGGGTGTAAAGGTATATGTTGTCGGTAGAGTATTGGAAAATGTTGTTTTCTAAGAGTTTCTAAGTGTTTACACTGAATTAACATGTGAAGGACGGTTAAGTATTCCCCACATCTGTCACACAATGGTGGATTGCCACCAGACAAAAGGTGTGTGTGTGTCGTGTATGTGTGTCCTATCCTGAGTCTTGTTAGTGTTACCTCTGTTACACGCGATTTTGATACTGGTGGCCAATGGCCAAGGTGTGGCTTGATAACGTGTAGTTTGTTTTGTGTGTGTGTATCCCACTTGCTCTGCCAGTAGTCCCTGAGTTTTCGTTTGAGAGACGGCTTAAGATCAAGGACCGGGATTGATGTCGGTGTAACGGCGGTGCTTTCGTGGGCGGATGCAGCAAGCTGATCCGCCATCACGTTGCCTTGAATCTCACGGTGCCCTGGCACCCAGCACACAACAACATGTCTGTTGAGTGTGTAGAGGGTGCATAAAATGGAGTAAAGTGAAACGAGGACAGGGTTTTTTTGTTTTTTAAGACTGTGCAGAGCCGTTACCACACTGAGGGAGTCTGTATAAATTACTGCTTTTTGTATTTGTGATTGTTTGATGTGTTTAGCTGCCACAAGTATCGCGTAAGCTTCCGCTGTGAAGATACTTGTGCCTGGATGTAGAGGGCCAGCATCCGAAAAGGAAGGGCCAACAGCAGCGTAGGACACAGAAGAGTTAGACTTAGAGGCATCTGTGAAAAACTCAGGACGTGTGTATTTGTATTGAAGTTCCAAGAAGTATGTTCGAATATGGGCAATAGGCGCATGTTTTGTAACTTCTAAAAAAGACACTCTCCAAGAGCTTTTCTTTTCGCGCAAGAGCAACTGGGTCAAAATGCATCATCGTTATCTCGGGGAAACTGCCGGGAACAGTCGGAGTTTCTTTATTATCATCATCATCAGCCTGACTACGCCCTTTGCAGGGCAAAGGCCCTTCCCATGACCCGCCAATCAACCCGGTCTTATGCTTTCCGTTGCCACGTTATACCTGCGAAGTTTTAGATCTCATCGTCCCACTTAACTTTGTCTCCCGTTCATGCGTTTGCCTTCTCTGAGAATCCAGTCAGTTACCCTTAATAACCAGCGGTTATTCTGCCTACGTGCTACGTGCCCGGCCCATGGCCAGTTCTTCTTATTGATTTCAACTAGGACATCTTTAACCCCGACCTGTTCCCTTGCCCACTCTGCTCTTTTCTTCTCTCTTGAGGTTACACCCATCATTTTCCTTTTTATCACTCGCTGCGCCACAGTGAGCGATGGAGTTTCTTCAGCACCACATTTTTATTTATTACATCGTCAAGGCCGCCCCATTGGCCCAGTGACTACGATGCTTGGCAGCATAACAAAAAAAAAAAAAAAAAAAAAAACATGGGATCGCTTCCGGCCGTAGCGGTCAAACTTTGATGAAAGTGATATGATAGAGACCCGTGTACTGTGCGGTGTCCCTACACATTAATGGAGCCCCAGTGACCGAATTTATCCGGGGATCTCAACTTCCATGTCTCTCACTGCCCGAGTGGCTTTGGGACGTTAATCCTCATAGACCAACCAACCTAATTGCATTATCAACGTCCTATTTTCAGATGAGGAAATCAGGTTACTACTTTGCATAGATTATTAGTATGGTTAGAAAAAAGGAAAAAAAATGTCAAAGCTGGCATTAAGTCTTGCAAGGCTTGAAACAGTGAAAATGGGCGAATCCAAAGTTTGATCGAGTCGCTTCTAGGTCATTGCCAAACTTCAGCCTTAGCTATAGCCGCTTAAAACGTTAGAAGTCAGCGGCATTTCCTCCTCCAAGGCGGATGCACATAAGGCTGAACCAATGAGTGCGCACCCCAGACTGACGTCACGAGCCGGACGGTCGTTGACCCCAACTGCAAAGAACGCTGCCGAGAGCAAGAGTGGGACTATTTCTTTAGTCGCTGAGCTGATGAGCTGCCGCTCTTCGGTCGTCTAGGCGGGGCCTCCCCTGACTTTTAGGGGCGAAGCTCCTTAAGGCGTGGCTTGTGCGTCCCCCGTTGTCGTAGTGCGTAACCTGTGGTGCATACTCGCACACCAGTGGCACATTCCCGCCCTTGGACACATATCCGCATGTCCACATGTAACGAAAAACGTAGCACGACGTCGTGATCTCGGTGTTAACAAAGCGCAGGCAGCAGAAATGTGGTCCATACTCTCGTTTAGTCCTTGGATAGTCCGCTGGATGGCGGTACTTGTATATGATGAATATATGATGAAAAGAAGCGAGATGTCGGTACTTGAAGTGTTCAATAGATGGACGGATGGACGCATAGACCGACAGACAGACAGACACACCAACGGATGAACGGACGAATCGATGCACGGGCGCACGCAAAGACGGACGCACGAATGGATGCACGTACGGGCGCAAGTACGGACGGACGGACGCATGGACGGGCGCACGAACGGGTGCACGTTTGGACGGATGGACGCGCGGATTGAAGCACGGATGGATTGACGGACACTTCGCCCCATTCATCATCATTCGTTACGTGAACATACTGTGATTTTTTTATGTTGTATCCAACTCTAGGTTGTACGTACAGCCGGGTCCACTATTAGGGGCAACAGTTGCGTGCACAGCCTGTTTGTATTTCACTCTCTTGCAAAACCATAGCATCTACAGATTTACACGAGCCTTCTGGTGATTGGACGTTCTGGCTCTTTTTGACAGACCAGTGCCGTGCATTAACATTGCTTCCTTATTAACTTCCTACTGGAGGGCTGGAAATGTGAATGGCACTCGATGTACCGTATCGTGCCTTTAACAGTGGACAATACGGTACATTCATTCTTAACGCCGAGCGGTCCTACTTCACCAGCATACAGTCACACAGTTGTCCGAAATCCAGAGACGTAAGCTCGCGCTGAAACCGAGCATTCGCGTCTCTCACAGATTCGCGGATACGTCGTAGTGGCGCATGTCTTCCGTCGCATCGGGGTCTACTCGCAGCCACCCTTGTCTTTTCCCGTTTGATAGCACCCTCTAGCGGTGCGTACTCGGGTTGGCTTTTGCGATTTGCTCACGGTGGGGACCGATTACAAAGAACACATGACACATTGTTAAGAGAACGAGCTCGAACTTGCGTTCTGTGTTCTTTTGTAATCTGTCCCTACCGCAAACGCATTGCAAAAGTTAACGTGAATGAAGTAGCTCCTTTCATCCCTATTCGTACTTGGGGTCCTCGGCTCGCCACCGTGTTTTGAAGCCATTTTTTGGGGGGGCTAACTGTTGTCTTTTGCATTTTTGGTGGACCAGGGGTCAGTAGAGGGACTTACCAAATTTCTGTAGCACATACCTGTTGATGATAATGACAGTTTTTGCCTTACCATGGAAGTTTTACGGCTGGCTATGACAGCTTAGCTGTTACGTTTCCCACTTCATCTTCGAACGGTTAAACACTGCCGCCTATACCTTCTTGACGTATGTTTTGAAGCAGGCCAGTATGCAGGACATATTGTGGGGCAGAGGAGGGGCTTTCGCAGAAGACCTTGAGAAATATCCACCGTTAAGCACAACCCATCATACGAATTTCAGGGTGGGTGGTTAGGGCACCCGTTTCGGCTATGG